ACTTGGCCTCTTATGCACCTGAAGGTATTCCAACTTCTGATCATCTCAAGCTCCGGACTGTCACTCTCTCACTGGATTCGATCCCCGAACGACATGTCGTTCTTGAGACCCTCTTCATCTCTGTCGAACCCTATTTGCGCAGCAGGGTCACTGGCCGAGAAGACGGGCTATACAGTCCTCAGTTCAACCTTAATGAGGTTCAGTTCATATCATATACTTTACAAACACATGCATGCTTTCAACATTGATGTCAAAATTACATCTCAGGACTATAATCTATATGTGCAGGTACTTTCAACGTTTGGGGTCGGAAGGGTAATTCGGTCAAAAGACGGTGACTATGTTGAAGGAGATATAGTGGTCAGCCCCTTCACACCCTTTGCTGAATATGGCGTGGTGCCATCCCACTTGTTAACAAGAAAGGTTGATCCAAACGATGGGATTCCATTGCCTGAATATATCAGTCTGCTAGGCAATTCTCTTTCTTTATCTCTGTTTCCTTTTTATTTTTTCCTGTTTTCTGAGAAATACTTCCCTACCCATGTTGCATTGATTCAGCAAAGACCAAATTAATTAAAGTAAAATCAATGAATGGGATTTGAATTGGAGAAAAAAAAGAGGAGAACAACTTATGACATGATGATATGTAAATTTGTGGATAATGATGGTGTGTGTATATTATAGGGGTACCTGGGTTTGCAGCATGGGTGGGAATTGAGGTGATAGCAGACCCAAAACCAGGGTCGAATGTGTTCATATCAGCTGCAGCTGGGGCTGTTGGAATGTATGCAGGACAGTTGGCCAAGCTTAGGGGATGTAGGGTTATTGGAAGCACTGGATCAGATGAGAAAGTAAGTGTTTTGATTGCCCAGAAACACAAAATATATACTTTATTGAATTTTTTTAATCCTAATATAAATCTTTTCCTGCACCAATCATCAATGTTAAGAGGTTTATGATCCGTCAGTGAACATTATACTCAAATTTAACTAATGAAAGGATAATGGAAAATTGTTGACATTTTTTTTTTGAGAACTAAAAGATAAACAATTTAAACTTTTTAAAAATCATTCCAAACCAGAATGCTCAAAAATTCTATATAAGTACAGGGAGGGAACTAGCCAAGGGGCTGCCCAGCCTATAAGGAAGGTTTTGGGGGAAAAAATAATTAAACATATATAGTCTAATATTTTAAATAATATACAATTGCATATCCTATCACACCAATAGACATAGTCAATAAGGTCTTCTACATTTGTATTTGGTGTCAAAGTTTGTCCCAAACATCAATTTTAATCCTTTTCCATTAACGTATCTCCAAAAGAGAAACATTTCTCTAAATAAAATTCACCCTATGAATTATATGGCTATAATTTCTTTTTTTTCTTCTTGTGTTTACAACTAGCGTGATTTATATGATTTAATGTATACTTTTATTTCTAGAAAAATTATAGAAACTGTTAGTACAAAAAAAAAAAAAAATAATCATTAGATTTTAAGCTAATAACACTATAGAAACTGTTAGTACAAAAAAAATAAAATAATAATCATTAGATTTTAAGCTAATAACTTTAGCTAGCCCACTCATTGAAAAATTCCGAATTTTATCATTAATAAGTATATATATTTGACTCTTTATTCAATTCAATGTAAGCAAACTCTAGAGTTTGTAGAGTACTAGTTTGTCAAACTTGAGTGAAAAAAAACTCATTGGATAAGTAACTAACCTATCTCAATTATTAATTTTGGTCACCTACCTACCTACCTATCAATTACACAAAGTTGGTATACGTTGGTCCACACCCTAAAATGGAGGAAACTATTGCTTAACAGAATCTAATTAAGCTTCCCAAAAAGTTGCTTAACAGAAATTCCTACCCTCAGAAAAGTGAGTGGTGAGCTTCATCAATATATCATCACAGAGACATGTACGTCACATGCGCGCACTTCATTTTTCCTTTCTGTCAACAAGCAAGCACTAGTGTTGTCTTGTCTAGCTAGCATTCTGCTCGCTGCCCTCATTGTTTGGTTTGAGTGGGATTCCACATATTCTCACTTCCTTTCGACATACACAGTGAAAAGACAAGGGAAAATGGATTTAAATTTAACTATATAAACGATATTAGGGAAAGAAGGATCCAGATTCGCACACACAATCTTGGGTGTAGAAGTAACCAATTTAAAACCTTGTGATGGCTAGAAAAAAACAAAAGAAAATGAAAATTGAAACTTCGTGCACCTTCCAAAGTGGGGATAGGGACTTTGCCCTGGAAGGCCCAGGCACAACAATTACTAAGAATCACATCAAACTATAGTTTTATGGTTTCAGATTAAAATAATTTGTTGCTCTGATTGTTGATCATTTGTGGTTCTTCATTAGGTGAAGCTCCTCAAGGAGGAATTTGGATACGATGACGCATTCAACTACCACACAGAGACAGATTTTGATGCTGCTTTAAGCAAGTAATTATTGTTTAGCTAATGATTAAGTTAGCATAATTATATATGGGGTTGAGAAGCTAGCATCATGGAATATTTCTTTGCAAATTATACAGCTACTTTCCCCATGGAATTGATGTGTACCTTGACAATGTTGGCGGTAAAATGCTTGAGTCAGCTCTCAACCATGTCAACAAGAATGCCAAGATCCCTCTTTGTGGCATGATATCTGGCTACAATAAGGTAAATGGTATATACTACTATTTGTCTTCTTATCACTTATACATACACACGCAACACAAGAACCTTATTTAAGGGACACTTTTGTAGGGCTCATCGCGCATTGTATTTTGATGATCAGAATTGTCTATATTTTAAGGTTTCACATGTTTGTATAAGTATGACTTAAGTTCACATGCATAAAAAGACGCGTTGTATTGACAACTTTACATATCCAAATATGTATTTTTCTTTTCCTCAAATGCTGATAAGCTCACATGTATTTTTGTGCAGGTTTGGACTGAGAGAGAGGGGGTGAGAAATCTGCTGAATTTGATCGGCAAGGAGGTGAATATGCAAGGGTTCATGGTGTTCATACTTGCATCGTTTTGGGGATTTTGCAAAGGAGATGGAGAGCCACCTAAAGCAAGGCAAGATTGGTTCTAAGCTCAAGATCTTCCATGGAATTGAAACATTCTTGGAGAGCTTAGGATCCCTCTTCACCAGCTCTAATGTTGGAAAAGTAGTAGTCCAAGTCAAGTAATAATATATAGGTAGGTTGAAGTGAATCTTTGTCATCGGACTTCTATGCAATATGTTAAATGCTTCATCAGAGCTCTCTTATTTAGACCTACCGAGACCTAAATTTTCTTTTGAGTCATAATTAAGTTGATTTCTTGTTGAGAGTGCTATGATTCCATCAAATTGAAGTTTATTTAAAAATTTCTTAGGAGTTATAATGCGACATACGTTACGAATTAATAGAGAGCATTTATCCTCGTATTCAAAGTTAGAACTCAAATCTCTCCTCTTTTTTAGCCTCAATACTTGTACTAAAACTATAAGTAAGTTGTCTATCAAATTTTGTTCCACTAATTGACTCAGTCACTCAAGTCTTATTGTACTGCCAAACTCAGTAAAAAGGTGATGCAAAGCTAGACATTTGAGAGAGATCAGAGAATGGGTGGTGTAGGTGAAGAGATGAGAGTACTGGAAAGCAGAGAATGGTACATTGCGTCTTATGCACCTCAAGGTGTTCCAAATTCTGATCATCTCAAGATTCGTACTGCCAAACTCTCACTAGCTCTTAATTTGATCCCCGAACGGCATGTCGTTCTTGAGACCCTCTTCCTCTCCGTTCAACCTTAACGAGGTTCACATATTCACTGTTGAACATTGAGACCAAACTACTGTTGAGATTAAATGGTTAATATTGTCTTTGCATGATATTACAGGTAATTGTAGCATTTGGGGTTGGAAGGGTAATTAAGTCAAACGATACCAATTACAGTGAAGGTGACATAGTGATCAGCCCTGTCACACCTTTGGCTGAATATTGCGTGGTATCATCCAACTCACCACATTTACCAAAGTGTTTGATCGTCCACAACCAAGCTACTATGATATGGGCCTCTAGTTTGGGCTCACTTGTCAGTTCATGGGCCAAACATAACTATCTATAGGCATCTTGGTTTCCTATCAAATTGCTTGAGATGCATTGACGAACAAATTGTGTTTGCTTTTGAGACTGACCAATTAAATAACTTATTATCTTAGTACAAAAAAATGATGCAATGTATGCATTTTTGGTAATCAACGTGACAAACCAATAAATATGAAGGTGATGCAAAGTTTGGAATCGGCGCTTCGGCCAAGTATGAATTAGAAAATCTAGAAAAGCTTGGCCCATAATTCAATTACCGCCGGACGTGACAAATTATGCGAACGACAAAATATCAGTTGAGGTTGCGACAAATTACCGGTTGAGGTTGCGACAACATTTTGATCATGTATGGTTTTCATTGAAAATATTTCTATTAGGATTCACTTTTGGAGTTACTATGTTTTCGTGTATGTATGCAAACGTTTAAGTTTGGAGTTACTTTAAACATTTACACTCTCCTATATTGTTTTTCAATTAGAAAGCTGAATTTAATCACAAATTAATTCCTTTAGATATTGGGTAGAATGATGCATTCAATTACAATCATGTAAACCTCCTTAACTTGCAATATATATATATATATATACTTGTTTAACTCTTACAGATTAACACATTTTGTTTCAATTGTTGATAATTTATGGTTCTTAGGTAAGGCTCATAAAGGAGGAATTTGGATATGATGATGCATTCAACTATCACAAAGAGATAGATTTTGATGCTGCTTTGAGCAAGTAATTACTGTTAATATAGCATTATATCTAATGCATGATTTTGAGAATCATATATCTGGGTCTATATATGAAGACTCGAAGTTTTTTCCTTACAATTTACAGGTATTTCCCAAATGGAATTGATGTATACCTTGACAATGTTGGCGGTAGAATGCTTGAGGCTGTTCTCAACCATGTCAACAAGCATGCAAAGATCCCTCTTTGTGGCATGATACCTGAGTACAATAGGGTAAATGGTGTCATTTATTCATAATAAATTAATGATGATTGTGTAAGCATGACCGAAGTTGACATGCATAAAAAAACATATGTTATTGAATATTTTATCTATGCATGTGCCTATGTTTGTCTGTTTTCTCAATTGCGAAGGTCATCAAATTTGTGCAGGTTTGGACTGAGAGAGAGGGGGTGAGGAATCTGCTGAATTTAGTCGGCAAGGAGGTGCATATGCAAGGGTTCATGCTGGGCTCATACATGGATCGTTTTGGGGATTTTGCAAAGGAGATGGATGGTCACCTAAAGCAAGGCAAGATTGGTTCTAAACTCAAAATCTTCCATGGAATTGACAAATTCTTGGACAGTTTAGGATCTCTATTCACCGGCCAGCTGTAATATTGGAAAAGTAGTAATCCAAGTTAAGTGATAGTAATATATTGGTTTAGGAGTAATTAATTAATCTATGAGAGCAGATTAAAGAAGCTAGACTTGTAAGATTCATACATAGGAGAAGTAAAGATTATTTTAAGAAATTAGGCACACAAGGTTTGTAGGGGGAGGATTCAATGGCTAGAAACGGGGTGGTGTGGAAAATGCCTTACCTTTGTACATGAGCTACAAGGACAAGTATTAATGTTACCAATCTTTTGCTCATGCAATTTCTATGTCCCCCAAAATCCATCGGCACCTATCACAAATGTGCCAATGTTGTGTACATTAATTCATGCCTTACCTTCCATTCCCTCATGCCACTAATTTGCTCCCTCAATCCCCGGCAAGTAACACAGGCCTCTCTATCTTAATTACGATGTTGTCGTACTTAATTAATGAGTTCAATGAGTCATATTCGACTTAACTTTAGTGATAGAGTACTTATTTCAATCGCAATAAGCTATAACTCAACTCTCCACTAAATGCATAGAAAGATGAATTAAAAAGAGTCAACTATGAAACGCTCGCATAAATCTTGGTACTCGGAACACTGAGCCTGCCCAGTGGTGAAGTATGTGTTTGTCCTTTTTCGCAACTCAAGTGAGCAAGGACAAGATTTCGAACCAAAAAACTGAAAATGGTCAATTAATTAATTACAATGTGTAACCGACAACAGATATATTGGTAAAATATTGTTTACCATTTGGCAACTTTCTCATTTGAAAAAACTGGCTGATTCAAAGAGACCCACTGACCACTTTTCCTCCCCTCAGTACTCACCGACTGGTCCTGCAGACGGAAAAATGTTTTCTGGAATTTTAGTACAAAATCTGCAGAATTCATCATGAAGCAAGAAAAAGAAATTTGGATAGAACGTGAAAAATGTTTGCCTGCATGGTCACTCACTAATCAAAACCAGCAACTCCTATGTTTCCTCGCATTTATCAATAATTTTTTAGTACAAACATTTGTGAGGGAAGTGGGCGATGAATAGGGAAAGAGGGTATACGTGAGCCCTACTTTTTTCCCTTTGTTTTCTTTTTGCACTAAAATTATTAAAGACGTTTCACACAAATAGCAATAAGCCAATCCAAGTTGGTGAATTTGCAGATCAATTCCTCATGGCACCGTGATAGTGTGCGTGACAAAATCCCTCTGCTCCTTCTTAACTTTGGCAACAAGGAAAAACAAGTTGAGATCAAGGATGACACAACGCCACCACGGCCTCCCTGCCAAGCTCTCCCCAAGGCTGCAAAGCACACCTCTATATTTAGCTAATTTTCAGTGCTATTTTTGGCGAGTTTCGTGATAAAGTGGTGCACTTGTCACTTGGATTTATTATACTATTAAATCTGCCCTTAAATTTTGGCATGGTGTGTGCAAGAAAACTACTGGAAAAATTAGATTTTTGTGTGAATTGGGAATTGTCACAAATGAATGAAAATTCGTCATGAAAACATGAGACAACGGGATTATCATATTTCTTATACATGCCAAGGGCCGCAAAACCTTTTGGTGACGATATACTATTTGGCCAAAACTCAAAAAGTTTCTTTTTCTGTGTACAAGTTGGGATACAAGTTACAACTTCTCCTTTGGGAAAATGGGTGTGATCTCATTTCAAAGTACCCAAAAAAGGTGCAAGTGTTCTTAGGGCTTGTTTGGGAATATTCTAGATAGGCAAAAATTACTTCTGGAGATAAACACCTCCCATGTGCTTCTCCATATAATCACTTCTAGTGATTTTAAGTGATTTTTCATAAAATCACTTCAAACTATTTAAAGTAATTATATGGAGAAACTTCTCCATAGAAGTGATTATTGGTGTATTCATAATCACTCCCGAATGAGTCCTTAGTTTTGTATTCACAAATTACTTCAACTCATAGATACTTATTAAGAAAGGAAAACTAACACATAAATATAAAAATTAAGATAACGAATCCATGAAACTAAAACTGAGTTCTACATTGATGATATATACAACACATGCATGATATAAAACAAGTTTTTTTTGGGGAGTTTTTATCTTACTTACTCGACTTCAACATAAACACTGAACTAAAATAGAAGAGAAGGTTCATTAACCCTAAGACTTTTCAGTCTTCCTTTCTGCTAGAAAAGCTAGCCCTAATGAAACCTCTAACTAACTAAAAAGATAAAACCCACATGATCCACATCCACTAGCTAGTAAAACTCTCTAGCATTAGTTAACCATATGCACACTAAGCTCTAGTCTTCATCAGTACTCATATGGACACTCACTATCTCTAGTCTGTTTTAAGCAAATGTTCACCCAGCTGGAAGCTTCAACGCTTAACATATGCCAGGCATGTTGTTCCAGTAGCAGGCTCCTAAGGTGCGCTGGACTTCGGGTGCTGCTGCCGTGGTCTTCACTGACGTTGATGTCAACGGGGCATTTTGCTGAGTGTCTAGACCCACATTCTCACTTGCATTCTCGCTGGTGGACATGCATTCAGCCAGGTACCACGACGTCTCAGACACTGCTGGCACTGTAGAGGAGAAGTTGAGCAAGCTCAGCAAGTCATCGTCCATCTCATCTAGTGGATCCTCACTTAGTTTCATGCCTGTGGATCATCAAAATCCCAAGTTAAATATAGTGCTATTTCTACCAAATGACATCGAAATTGTAGATGGAGCTTCTACATTCACTAAATGAGCTCACCTATAAGTCAGATATTAACATGCGTGTAACGCTCTCTCGTCAGATTGTCCGGCAATATAAAATAATTGTGTTGTCGATCGTTAATTTAAACTATTTATTAAATTGACTCTTGCATGAATTAATTAAAGTAAAACACAAGAAGCATGCAAGAGCTTGAAATATCTTACCAATTGATGACGGGGAGGAGCTATCATCCCTCTGGTTTTCAGCACTATTATCTCCGCTATTCTTCAAAGTTGATTCGACCTGCACGGTGTCATCCTCCTCCTCCTCAGCGGACTCTTCCTCCACCACCACACCTTTCTCTTTTCCAGACACCCCAGAAGAACTGTCCTCACTCTTCAACCTCTTATTCGAAATGTTATGAGCCTCGGCCAACACATCATCCAAGAGACCACTATTGCCTTGAGATGGCACAGGTGCAATTTCATAGTGATCATCTTCATTGGTATTGCCGGAAGCCCCCATTGGAGCCTCGTCGCCAAGAATACTTGGCGGTGTTTGGTTCGAAGGGAGCTCTGCATTGGACCCCGCAACCAAACCCGCTGTTGAGTCATAAGTAGGAGGCCCCATGATGATCGAGCTGAGGCTAATATTGTTGTAGCCACCAAACCCAACATGAGAATTGTACTGATGGTGAAGCGGTGGAGGATTAGCAGATGAAGACCCAAAAGGGTTTGGGTTTGGGATGTTATGGCTCTGGTTGAAGAGAGCTGAAGAAGATGAGGACCCAAAAGGCATAGCGAAGCCACCGCCATTTCCATTGAATTGGGTGATGGGGTTGGAAAAGAGAGAAGCAGCATTGCGGTGGTAATTGTTGGTGTTGTTGTTGTGATGATCTGAGGAGGAGGAGAAGGTGGTGATGTGGTCGTAAAGAGAAAGCTGGGCGGGGCTATAAGTGCTGGGCTTTCGAGGCTGGGAGTTGGAGAGGAGTGATGAGAATGAAGAAGCGGAGGAGGAGGAAGAAGAAGAGTGTCTCATTTGGTGGTGGTGGAAAGCAGCAGCTGCTGCTTCTGGCTGGAGGTCGTGAGGGTAAACTGGCAAACCGGCCCTCTGGCGTCGCTTTATTCTGGTGTTCCAGTAGTTCTTTATTTCATTGTCAGTCCGTCCGGGTAACTGATGATCAAAATCATCAAAGAAAAAAAGAAAAAGAAACAGATATACATGAGTATCAACAAAAGAAAGAAAGAGAAGGTCAAATAAATTTTACAAAAATAAAAAGAAATAGAAAAATAGCATAATTAAATAGGTAGGTCCAAAAGAAAATTAAGGGAAGGGGGGGTTGGGGAATCTGGTCAGAAAATGAGATCAGCGTCAGATAAAATAAGAACAATTGGATTCTTTATTAATCGAAAGAAAATTGATAAAAAGGTATGAGCTAGCAAAACTTTTTACAAATTTATTGACGGAAAAAAAAAAGATTTTTGCAATTTCATAATCATATGAGTATGTAAAAAATAATGAAAACCATGTAAATTGATCGAGACAGATAGTCCAAGAAGACCAAGAAAGAGGAAATGAAAGCAACTGCGGTCACAATCAGAATCAAAATGGCAGAGAAAAATCACATAAAAAGGTATAGTCCAAGGGACAAGGAAAAAGAAGAAGGAAAAAAAATATTCCACAAAGAATAGATAGATAGAACACACACAACAAAAAAAAAAACAAAAAAAAACCAAAGAGAATGGAACAAAATTCACCTGAGAAGCCATGCGAGCCCATTTGTTGCCGAATTTAGCGTGAAGTTCGATGATGAGGCGTTCTTCGTCGGGGGAAAGCGAGCCTTTCTTGAGATTAGGCCTCAAATGGTTGGCCCACCTGAGCCTGCAGCTCTTGCCGCACCTTGCCAGACCTGAATTCTTCTGCACCGCGTTCCAGTTTCCCTCGCCGTGCTTCTTCACGTACTCCATCAAGATCCCGTCCTCCGCCGCCGTCCACGGGCCCTTCTTCAGGCCCCGCTGCTGATGCGGCTGGTGGTGGTTGTGGTGGGATCCGCCTCTCTGAGCTGCCGCCTCCGCTTCATGAACTCCGTCCACTCCGCTGCTGTTGAGCATCATGATGATTTTAGGCCTATATAGCTATAGCTAGCTAGCTAGCTATATAAATAATTAAATATATATATATGTAGCTACCACCTATGTCTTTTGTCTGAATTCTTTGTTGAGTTTGTGTTTTGTTAATGCGTTTTCTTTGTTCGATGGGGTGTCTGGTTGGTGCTTTGAGAAATTGGATGAAAGAGGGAGAGAGAGAGAGGGAGATATGGAGGTTTGGAAGAGTTTCTCTCTCCTCTCCCAAGGTGTGAGAGAGAAATGCAAGAAAGAGAGGAGAGAATTAGAGAGAGAGAGAGAGAGAGAGAGAGAGAGAAAAAGCGACAGACACAACAAACTAGCTCTAGCCCTTGTCTCTATTCTGGCTTTGTTTTGTTTTAGACAAGGGATTTCAGATTTAGAGAGAGAGAGAGAGAGAGAGAGGGTCTCTGAAGTTTGGGGGCTTTGGGTTGAGAGTGAGAAGGGGGTGGATTGAGGGGGATTTATTTAGAGGTGTGAGCTTCCATTTCGGTCCGGGTTGCATGCTAAGTGGTACGTCCATTGACGCGTTTTCTATGTCCACCCTTCATTGCTATTACACCACACTCTTCCTCTCTTTCACTTCTAGAACACCATTTTAGACATTCCCTCACTTTCTTTTTATCAATTTTTGCAAGTTCAATTCATTGTATGAATTCATTATTTCTCTTGTTTTTCTTCCTAGGTCAATCTTCAAAGGTACATTTTAAGAAAAACAATTGACATTGTGTTATATACTATAAACATATTTGGACCATATTGAGTATTGACAGACCACGTTACTGACCGCAAATCTCTTGAAAGTATGGAATTTATGTGGGGTCCATCAAGAATTGATAACGAAGGAATTTCTCACCTTTTAAGGTTAAAACGACACAAGGAATGGAGAGCCGGATGACTTTCTGAGCATTCTTATCCAATCAACTATGAAAGTTATTATCAAGGCTTCGTCAGCTGTGGACCCGTCAAATTATTATTATTTGTCATACGTTATTATGGAAAATGATTCTCTTCTGACTTATTATGGCAAAGCGTCTGCCTCGAGGTTCTCGATTCATTCCCCGAGAAATTCTCTTTAGAAATTTAAAGTTTTTTTAAAATAAATTGAAAATAAAGATATCACTCATTTTCACTTCAAAATTCTTTTACAACTATTTTCACTTCTTCTTTAAAAAAAAAATGTAAATGAACATAATTTCACAACCAGTAGTAAGGAGGAGAAGTAATGTGCTTGATGAAGTTTTTTATTTTCAAGTGTTTATAAATATGATACAAATAGTTTTATTCATCAAATCTACTAGCAAAGTTTATTTGACTCACATCATTTCTCAAGAGTGATATGCCACTCATTGCTTAGGCTAAATAATGAAATTTATTTATTACATTGGAAGAGATTAGCACACTTAACTTAAATTTGCCGTCCTAATAACTCATTTCATCAATAAAAGGATATGCATTTTTCACTTATATCTATCAATAATTAATACCTTTCCTTTAAATTGTATATGCATTTTGACTGCATTCATGATAGTTGAACTTCATGTTTCTAGACGTTTCTCAGTCCTCTCCGTAATTCTTCTTCCATACAAAGCTGAGTAGCTTAATTGCTCAATTAGGTCAACCACAATCATATAATTCTTCGAATTTCACCCTAAATTAAAGATTAAGGAAATATAAACCTAGCTATACTTATGTTTAGTTGTGGTTATCGACTTCTCAAGTATGAAACTTTTTCTTCTTTCGTTAATGTTCACATTGGTACAGATGATTTTGGCTTCTTGCTATTCAGTAAATGTATTTCCTCTCAAATCCAGATTCATATATTGACCGTAATTATTTTAGTTTTACTAGATTTATTTAAATGACTTGCTCATACATAACATTAATAACATTGCTATATATACAAGTTTGAATGAGTTGCGAGTTCGTATAAGTGCAGCTCAAATTTGAGCATCTACAATCATCCTCTCTATTTTTTAGTTAAAATTTAGCTAAAAAGGAACAAAAGCTATTTTAGGAGCTTTTCTATAAAATTTCAACTTCAATCATACTCTGACTCTCTAGTTTTGGGAGTCACAAATGTTATAATTCTTTTTCTTTTTCTTTTTTGGGTAAAAATGCTATAATTCTTTTTCAATTCAACATAAATGGTCCATCTCTAGGAAAAATAGGCAACATTAAGGTATCATTAAATTATAGGGAGCCACTGGGAGTCCATTCTCTCTCATCAGATTTAGGAGATCCTAGAGGTCTCCCTATTTTAGGAGCTGGATAGGGGGCATGGTTGGAGGTGGGTTTTCTCACTTCCATCCTAAATTTTATCTAAAGAGGTACTTTAGGGAGTCCATTACGGATGCTTTCGATTAAAATTATAAAAGAATGCAAGTGAATATTTAATAGAATTTCTGCAATAATATCCTTTATTGTTTAAAATATTGCAGTTTGTCCTCTTAATTATAACAAAACTTGTGCGGAGAATTTCGAAAGAACAAAAATATATCCCATCGATTTTCTTGTTTTGGTTACACGGAATTGAGCTGAGAATTTCAATCATCACTTTACTCATCTCATCAAACTCATCATTTGACTAAAGATAAGAATTGAATTCAATCAATATTTAACTAGATATATATTTATTGTTATACATAAAATTCACTTTACTACATCTACTAGTTTGCAATATTCAAACTTTAATTTTAAGGTTATACCTGGAAATGACCCAAAAGTATGGAGAAAGACTATTGTACCCTTTTTCAATTGGTTTTCTTTTTTGGGTCAAGCCTTTTTGAATTGGTTAAGATAGATAGAACAAGAGATGTGACTTGAGATAGGATTGAGAAAAAGGTATATTGGACTGATGGGGTGTTAGTTGGATTGGCTTAAGCCTTTATTGTGCTCTCAAATGGTCATAAGTTCAAGCCTACAGGCTACATCGTACCTCGTATGTGAGTTTCGCCTTCCCCTTCTCCTTTCTAACTTTGGCAACAAAAAAGAAAGAGAAAAAAAGGTGTATTGGTCTCTCTCTGAGCATAAGAACTAAGAAGGCTTGGTTTTCTAATTTAAAAGTCAATTTTTGCATTCGATTTTCTTTTTATTTTGTTGGATCATTTGACCATAAAACCCAATCATACATAAATAAGGACATCACCACATCAATGTCATGCACTGTAGCTCAATAGGTATCTGAGAACTGAACGAACTTACCTGCTGTATGTTTCATCCAGAGGACTTAACACATGACCTAAGATACAAGGTTAGGACCGAGCTTCTGACTTCCGAAAACCAAAACCGAAAAACAAAGGCGAAAGCAAAGATATTTTCACACATCTAGAGTCTCATGCATTCTGCATTATGACTTACAGCATATCAAGCTTCACCAATTTTGCAACACTGACTTCAAGATCCAAATACCAACATGGTACCAGAATACAGTAGGATCTCAGCCTCATGCCATGTCTATTGTATTGTGAATTACAGTTGCAAGTCACTTTTAAAAGAATTCTATAACTCTCCTTCCTTCCTAGAAACATTTGAAAAGCTAAGTCTCCATAAAGGTCTCGAATCCATCAAACCTTAAAACCTCCAATGGACCTAAACTTTTATCGCAAAACACGTCTCAAACTAATGTTTGGATTTAATCCATAATCTCTAGTTTCAATTCACAGCATAGGGCAGTAGCCCTAGCCCTAGCAAAAGAATGGAGGATCATTCATGAGCTGGACTGATTTGCTTCAGTGTATTTCATTTCATACACACAGCAATTTCCTAAAACTCAGAACACTTTTTCTCATGAATTACAGCAATCAAACACATCAGTGATAACTCCTCTGTATAACACATAAATTTGCTGATACAGCACAAGCTCAATTACCGAATATTTACCACAGGATTTGAGTATAACAGTTATATTCATGGACTTTCATATGTCAATGTTGCCAACAGGATTAATAAAAAATTATGATTTACAGGACAATAAAGAACCACATTTTGTGAAACAACTTGAAAAAGGAAGGCATTAAAAGCACCTCCAACGTATTGTCGTGTATCGAAGCAAACCATATATGTCAAGCCTCCCCAAATTTCTTGGTCTGTTTCCCCTCTAAGACATGACATGATCCAATGCCAGCTTCACAGGGCTTTCCCAAAACCCAAGTTGCATTCAAATTTATGAGATTTTGTAAACACTTACAACATGTCCTTGATAAAATCAAGATTAAGTGTGTCCCGAACAATAAGGAACAATCCTACAAAAATAACAACCGTTATCCCTGATGACATAATCCCCTGCTCCACTTCTAGAGGAAGCTTTCTCCCACCCCTAGCAGCCTCTATGAGGATGAAAGCCAAGGTACCTCCATCTAAAGCAGGTAGAGGAAGAAGGTTAATTATTGCAAGGTTAAGATTAAGCAAGGCTGCAAACTGATAGAGTCCATCAACATTCGACCTTGCAACTTCTGCACCAACAGCGATAATGGCAACTGGACCTGCAACTTTACCAGCTGTCTGAGAGAAGTTTAGAAAAGTCTGCTTTAAGCTATCCAAAACATTAGATGACAAGCCCCAAAACTCTCTCCCAGTATAATTAAAAGCATCCGGAATACTTTTGGGTTTTACTTTTGTGAACTTGACATTTGGTGACAATTGTACTCCAATTTTGCCTGTTCCATCATAATTCTCATCAGGGATGATCCGAATTTCAAAGTCCTGTTGTCCCCTCTCAACCTTAAGAACCACATTTCTTTTGGCATTCTGCTTAATTACATCAACAATCTCTGAAACACCATTAGGCCCTCCTTTTGGCAATTCAATTCCATTAACCTCAAGGATCACATCCCCCGGAAGCAACCCGTCTCGGGAAGCTGCTGAGAAGGGTCGAACCTCGGGCACAAGCACCCCTGGATAGGCCTCTTGTACAGGCAAACCAACTGACAAGACTTGAGTAAAGATTATAAGGTATGCAAAAATGATATTGGCAACTACACCAGCTGAAACCACTATAGCTCTATCCAATATTGGCCTGTTCTTAAGCAAATTTTTATCATCTACTGGAATATCACTGTCTGGATCATTATCAGGAAATCCCACAAATCCACCCAGAGGAAAAGCTCTAAGAGAATACTCTACATTGTTTGCATTGAATTTAGCTAAAATTGGACCAAAACCAACTGCAAATTTACTCACATGGATGCCTTGAAGATAAGCAG